AATTGAGGTGGGAGTTTAATAAAAGATTTAACAAATATCTAATGAAAATGGTTAAATCTAAAAATATTAAATTAGTAAAAATGAATTATTAAATTAGTAAACTAAATAGTATTTATTTTTAAAACTCTAATTGAGCTCTAATCGAGCTTCTTAGTCGAGCTCTAATCAAGCTTATTCACGAGCTTCTAACCGAGATTGTTCGTGAACATAAATGAACTGAACAACATGCTGTCCTAGCTCGTTTATTTAGCTACTGAGTATTTATTAAGTGTGTTCTAACTCGTTTGTTTACTTTATCAAATGAACTTGAACGAGCTCTAATTGAGCCGGGCTACGAGCAGCTCATCGAATGCTCGGTTCATTTGAAGCCCTAATACTTATGAGTAGTGGTCTTCCTTTCACTAAAATGTTCACTATCCTTTAGAATATGATCTATTAATTGCACGGGCTATGATGTAGATCGGATGTGAGGCCTCTTCTCCACTAAGCTTTGACTTGTATGACACAACTTTAAATTTCTTAGATTAGTTTACATAGATTAAATATGTAAGTAAAATCTACAAAAATACTAAAATCCCAAAGCATAACTAGAGTGATTATCAATAAACATTAGCATAATGTTTTTTCCTCCAATTTTCTTAATTTGTGCCTCAAGAAGTTCAATTTGCTTCATTACTGTCTTGGAATGTTGAAATGTATCAAATAACTCAATGAATATTATATCAAATTGAGAATTAATAAGTAATTTAATATTCATGTATCTCAGTAATCAATTTTCTCGACCTGAGACTGCAACTCTTCAATTCCGAAAATTTTATGCTCCTCCACATTCCTTTGAATGACCTGTTGTTACAGCAGTGTACCTTGAAAATTCTGGAGAAAAGAATATATATGTTTGCTTCATGAGTGCCTTTGGAGTGGCCCCATAGTTGGGTTTTTGTTTGCTGATTATGGAAAAAGTAAGAAGGTTGGTTAAAACTTTGGCGAGGTAATAAGTTCAACAAGTATGCATTGCACTTCTTCTCATGTAATTTGATTATTACCAGAATCCTCATCTTCTTCTGCTTTTAAAATTATTCAAATACTGAAGTTATGGTCTCGCTTGATGAAGTATAACCTCATTATATAAATCAACTTAAAAAGGGATTTTATTTTATTTTTCTACTTCTAAGATACTATAGCTAATTCCAGTAGTTTTTATCTTTTCAAGTATTTGTTGCATATATTTTTTTAACTAGAAACTCGTGATTTGCAGACGGGATTGATGGATAATGGAACGAAACTGAATTTATTAGGCTTGTGGATGGCTCTCTTTGTAGTGTTTGCCGCAAGAAAGTTTCAGCAACCCATCAAGGTTCTTTGTCATTCAAAAGAAAAAAAAAAAAAGAAATGCCTTTTCTCATCATGTCTGATAACCAAACATCATAGTTTTCTAGAAATGTACATTCTGTTCATTTTTCCCTTTTGTGTTATTTGTTTTCTTAAGGATGACATTGGCGACAAATCTGTTTTCATCTTCAATGCTCTACCTGAGGCAGATAAAGATGCCTTGATTAAGAAACTCCAGCAAAAGAATGATGGCTTACTTGATTAATGCAAAACTAGAGGATCGTGTTTCGGCCAATAGAAGATATGCAATAAAGGTACGCCTTTTATCTTTAGTCCTGGAAATAGTATCATCAATAAAGCTTCATCGTTACTGTTAGAAGTTGGTACTAGTAACATCAGTGAAACCATTGGATATGTTGTGATAGTTTTTTTTTTTTTTTTAATTGAAAGACTTCCAGTAAGTGTAATGGCTTTGCTCTTTGATAGCTTTCAGCTCTATGTTTCTAAAAGTATATGATGGATTCTTACATGTGATGATTTCTATCATTTTGTGCAATAGCAAAGATTGAAGTCTAATTTTAGGTTTATAGGCGATCATAAAATTTGTACCATATCTCTTGAAATGAATCATAATCCATTGTTTTATATTGATAGAGTGTTTCCCAGAAGCAATGTGGCATGACCTAGCCTGATTTGGTGAGAAGTGGGGAAGGGTCTCCTAGGGAATTGGGTAAGGAGTACTAGGATCACTCATATGTGATACGTCATAGCTTAAGCCAATGGTTATGATAAATTGGCAATGGATGGCATGGATATCACTTAGAAGTGTTGTTGAAATTGGGTAATAGTTCACTAAGATAAATGATAGGAAGCCCTTGTGGATCTCAAGCAAATCTTATAAAAATCTGATTTCAACGAGAATTCACCACCAATCTCTAATCAAACTCAGGAAAAACAACAATTAGATTGTAGGAATTGATGAAAAACAAAAAAAAAAATGCCAAGATACAATTGATCTTCTATTCGAGAGAAGGATCGTTCTCTCCCAACTCTCTAGACGCCGCTAGAGCCTAAGAACACCAAAGAAACAGAACTTCAGTAATAATTAAGATAATCCTAACCCTAATTCCAACCTCCTACGTAAAGCACACAAAATTAACTCCCAAAAAGACTAAACAGCCCTCCTAATTCTAATTTTCCCTCCTAATCCCTCTTTCTCTCTCTCTACTTAAGCAGTGGGCCCCGATTGAGGGGGGGTGGACAACAGTAGGTTTATGCCTGCTGTAAACCAGTGGCCGGCTGGACCGGGCCTATCAATAAATTAGTACTGACCTTGCATTAAATGGTTGTGTGATTAATAAGCTCAATGATATGAAGAACAAAGTTGTCTGTTTGCAAAAACTAAGATTTCGTTTGGCATTGTTTATATTTTTCTTTTCTTTTTTTTTTTCAGTCAAAATATTGTAAAATCTGCTCTATGGACTGCAGCTTTTATTCTTCTCCAAAAGCCGTTTTTTTAGGCAATTATTAGAGATGATGGAAATATTTAGCATGCTTTTTCATCCAAACCTCGGCTTCCTGCTTATTAATAGCTTATCGTTCCACAAAACAGGTAAAAGTGAACCAAATGAAGCCTAAATGGAGGATGGAAACTCAACATTGGGGAAGATTGTGATAGAAAGTGGATAAAATTTTCTCAAAATCAGTAAATGACAATAATAAATTAGGAAAAAAAAAAACACACCAAAACTCTTTTTATATTGTAATATATATGAAATAAAACAACAAGATACAGTTGGATCTTCAATTGGAGAGGAAGATTCGGCTCTCCAAATCCTTGGCTGGCGGCTAGAGTGCTCACAACCTAAGAAATTTTAATTTTAGCAAACTCAAAATATAATCATGAAATCACCATATTGTTAGCCTTAAATAGGCTCCTCTAATTCTCTCTCAAGTCTGAATTCAAATCATTCATCTTTCCCTAAATAATTCTCTCCCATATTTGAATTCAAATTAGTCCCCTTTCCCTAAATAAACCTTCATAATTCCCTTCCAAATCTGAATTCAAATCAGCCCTCTTTCCCTATATAAATCTTCCTAATTTCCTTTCTATCAAATCAGTCATCTTTACCTAAATAAACCTTCATAATCTTCTCCTTCGGGATCTCCTTAAGAATACATGGTGTCAACTCCTTAGATGCCAAAAATGTGGTGGTCATCCTGAGCTACCCTTCTCTCTAAGTGCTTCTGATCCTCCACTAACTGGGCTAGCTCCATAGCTTCTCCCAAATCACGAGGCATCATCACTCTAACCGCCGCTCGAATCCCTGGCATGAGCCATTTCATAAAGTTCACCTCCATCACAGTCTCTGAAAGCTGGTCTGGTCGGCTGGCCTAGTGCTCAAATTGCTCATGATACTCCACCATTGTCCCATCCTGTGTCAAAGTGAAGAACTGCTTATAGAAGTCCCCTCCCTTGCTGGTTCAGAAATGTTCCAACAAATAGTCCTTAAACTCCCTCCAGGTCTGTATGGGTCGCCTTATATCCCTTCACTGGTACCATGTCAACGCTTTCCTCTCCAAGCACATCCCGACTGCCATTAGTCTCTCCTCTCCCATCAAGCTATTGACAGTAAAGTATCTTTCCACTATTTATATCCACCCATGTGCAGCCTCTCCCTAAAAAATATGCATATTCAACTTCTTCACCCTCGGATCTCCTTCGTTCCTATTGTTTCCTCCGTAATTTCCTCTTTTCCAAGTTGGTGGTTCCCACCAAGCATCCCAAACCATCTCTTCTACACTTTTACCCAAACCTTTCGTCAAAATCACACATTCTTCTTTCAAATTCAGCACCCCTTTGTTCAGAACTTTTATTTTATCCAGTGAACGTACGCTCCTCTACGTTCGGTTCTAGGCAAAAAAAGCGCAATACCGAGTACTGAGTACCGAGTACCGAGTTGTACCGAGTTTTTTCAAAAAACTCGGTATTGCGCTGTTTTGATCTAAAACCGAATGTAGAGGAGCGTACGTTCACTAGATGTAATAAAAGTTCCTTTGTTCATAATCAGTCATTTTCCTTTCAAATTCAGCCCTTCTCCTTTCAAGTTTAGCACCCCTTCGGTCATAATTATACCCTCTCCTTATAAATTATGTCCCTCTCCTCTCAAATTCACCATCCCTTCATTCATGCCCGACCCTCTCATGCCTCTCCCCATACCATCTACCTGACTCCTCCCTAGGAATAGGCTCTAAGGGAGGCACTCTCTCTTCTCTCTCCAAAATCTCCATCTCCTGATCTTCCTTTCGCCTTATTGGATTAGGGTTTTCCCCACTTTGTTAGCTGCCAGCAGCTTCCCTCGCCTCCGACGACGCCTTCTTGGGTTGGCCCTCGAACAACTTCAACATCTCCTCTAGGATAAAACATTTTCTCACCAATCTTCTTGTGGGCAGCTGAAATTTGAGTTTGGAGATGTAAAATTACAGATTTCAATTGTCTGATCTCCCCCTCCAGAACTTCTACATTTGTTCCCGCCATAGGTGTACTTGGATCAAGGCTCCAAGCTGCGAAAAGCAATAACTCTAGTCTTCAAGCAACAAAAATCTGCACTTTGGAGGGGGAAAACACAGCATAAATTTCAAGGAAATGCCTCAATTTCAGGCCAGAACATCACTTTGTTACCAATTTGATAGGAAGTTGATATAATTTCCTTAAAATCAGAAATCAATGAATGACAATACGAAATTAGGAAGAATAACACATCAAAACTCTTTTTATTACAAGATATATGAAAGAAAATAATAAGATACTATTGGATCTTCAATTGGGAGGAATATTCGGCTCTCCCAAATCCCTAGCCGACAACTAGAGCCCCACAACTTAAAAAATTTTAATTTCAACAAACTCAAAACATAATCCTGAAATCACCCTATTGTTAGCCTTAAATAACTCCCATAATTCCCTCCTAAATATGAATTTAAATTAACCTTTTTCTGATGTGAAACGTACATGTGAAGATGAGTTGCTTACGAAAATTTGCACGCTTAATATTTCGATAACAATATTAAATAAAACTTATGCCGATTTAAACGCTTAAGCTAAAACAATAAGGCGATAAAACAAGCTTAGGCTAAATTACATGCATAGTAGTTAAGATCATAAAGTAGCCAATTTAATCTAACATTGCATACATGAATGATTTTCAACTATAAATCCCAATGCTAACAATAAGATTAGGCATGATGCAAGAATCATTCACTCAACTCTCTAGTTCTCTAAGCTTTAGTGGTGAATAGCTTGACATGAGCTTTGCGGATCAAAGTATAACCACAATTGAAAGGTGAATTAGGAAGATATAAATGTAGGAAGAAAAGTTTGCCAAGGGAAGACAAATACGGAGCTCCGGCATGGTCGTTTGGATGCTTTAGAAATGAATGGACAGCAGTACAATCCTCCTGTTTGGGGACAACATTTTGACAATCTGTAGGCCTTGGACAGCAGCCGGAGACCTTTTCAATTGGCGGGGCAGCAACGAAAAGGTGCAGAATCTTTTGGGCAGCAACTCTGACAGCAGGGACAGCAGTTTGGGCTTGTAGGAGAAGCTGGACAGAAGAAAAAGGGTTGCAGAAATCTCCGGGACAGTACTTGGAGGAGTGTTGGTCAGCAAACAGGAGCAGACTTGGCAGCAGTATGGCTGGTTGGAGTTTCCCGGATAGCAGTTTCTAAGGGGAAAATTGCTGGACAGCAATTTTGAGCCGGTTTTAGTAGCCAGGTTTTGAATTTTTGAATCCCCAAATAACGTAGAAAGGTGGGAAAGTCATTCCTTAATAAGAGGTTGATTGAAGCAATTTGTGGGAGGTGATTTAATGAGGCGAGAGAGAGAGGGGGGAGGAAAGATTGTGTACACATTCAACGAATGTGGACCAAGGCATTGTAAGTGGGAATTAAATTTGAGATTTATTTTAGATTTAAAGTGATTTGGCGGGATTTAATTTGAATTTTGAATTCAAATTCAAGTATGATGAAGCCTTAATAGGAAGCAATAAGATTTAGCCCATTAATGGGTGGTCGGCAGCATCATGAGGGGAGGAGTATGGGGAAGATTTCAATAAGTTTCCAAATGAGGTTTGCCACATAGGAAAGAGAATAAACAACCCTCTTTAATTTAAAATTAAATCGGATTGAAATTTAAAAACTTTCTTTTTCTGCAAAGTTCCAAATAAGGAAAATATTTGAAATTTGAAGCAAGGGTCTCTTTTTCTGCAAAGTTTAAAATAAGGAAAGTATTTGAAATTTGAATTTCAAATTTCAAAC